CAGACCCTGTTAAGTGCACCTGGAACCCCTGGAATCTTGCACTGTTCCTGGAGATTGGGATGGCATGTAAAAACGCCACACTTTCTTTACAAAGAAGCCCAATGTGTTTTGACCTATATAAAATTTAAGCCTTCATCAGGGACTGTATTGCGGGGGGGGGGGCAAATACATCACACAAGTTCCAAAAACAAGCATTTAAGCTTTCAACCATTATATATATATAATATATATATGTATGTATATGTGTATATATGTATATTGCTTCAATGCTTTAAAACATTGACATAATTTTGTATCATTATATACTTAACTGAAAATGCAAAGCTGAAACAAGCTGCAGCAATCTTCTTTTACTAATGACTGAAATCATTAACTAAAAATGCCCCAACTTAATAAACTACACAGGGACGAGGGCAGGTGTTAATTACTGATATAACCATAAGGACTTCCATTACAGTGCATGACTCTAAGACAGTGTTTCCCAACCTTTTTTGGGCAAAGGCACACTTGTTTCATGAAAAAAATCTCGAGGCACACCACCATTAGAAAATGTTAAAAAATTTAACTCTGTGGCCTATATTGACTACCATATTTTTCGCCCCCATAGGACGCACCGCCCCATAAGACGCACCTAATTTTTTGGGGGGAGAATAAAGAAAAAAAAATTTCCCCTCCCCAGGCACGGGGCAGGCGCGGGGAAGCCCAAGCTTCCCCCGACCCCAGCCCCCAGAACAGCCTGATATCGCAAGCCTAGGGAGCCACACTGGTCTCCCCAGGCTTGCGGAGAGGTGCGTGAAGCCCGGGGGCGCTCTTCAGCGCGCACCAGGCTTCGGATGCAGGCAGCTCTGCGCTACCCTCCAGAGCCCCGTGCGGCTTCGCGCTGGGATCCGGGGGGTGGCGCGGAGCTGCAAGAAGCCCTGGAGCGCAGGCAGCTTCGCACCACCCTCCGGAGCCCCGCGCGGCTTCGCGCCAGGATCCAGAGGGTGGTGCAGAGCTGCAGGAAGCCCTGGAGCCCAGGTAGCTCCGCGCCACCCTCCGGAGCCCCGCGCGGCTTCGCGCCAGGATCCGGGGGGTGGCGCGGAGCTGCAAGAAGCCCTGGAGCGCAGGCAGCTCCGCACCACCCTCCGCAGCCCCGCGCGGCTTCGCGCCGGGATCCGGGGGGTGGCGCAGAGCTGCAAGAAGCCCTGGAGCGCAGGCAGCTCCGTGCCACCCTCCGCAGCCCCGCGCGGCTTCGCACCGGGATCCGGGGGGTGGCGCGGAGCTGCAAGAAGCCCTGGAGCGCGGGCAGCTCCGCGCCACCCTCCGCAGCCTCCTACGGAGGGCGCCCCGTGCTCCGCGCTGCTGGCTGCCGCCCGCAAGCCGTGCACGCGGGGGGGAGTTCCCCTGGGCGCGCAAGGCTTGCGGACAGCTGCGCGAAGCACGGGGCGTCCTCCAAAGGGCGCCCCGCGCTCCGTGCTGCAGGCTGCCGCCGCAAGCCTTGCGCGCCGGGGGGGGAGTTCCCCCAGGCGCCCAAGGCTTGCGGACAGCTGCGCGAAGCACGGGGCGTCCTCCAAAGGGCGCCCCGCGCTCCGCGCTGCAGGCTGCCGCCCGCAAGCCTTGCGCGCCGGGGGGGGAGTTCCCCCAGGCGCCCAAGGCTTGCGGACAGCTGCGCGAAGCACGGGGCGTCCTCCAAAGGGCGCCCCGCGCTGCAGGCTGCCGCCCGCAAGCCTTGCGCGCGCGGGGGGGGGGAGTTCCCCCAGGCGCCCAAGGCTTGCGGACAGCTGCGCGAAGCACGGGGCGTCCTCCAAAGGGCGCCCCGCGCTCCGCGCTGCAGGCTGCCGCCCGCAAGCCTTGCGCGCGCGGGGGGGGAGTTCCCCCAGGCGCCCAAGGCTTGCGGACAGCTGCGCGAAGCACGGGGCGTCCTCCAAAGGGCGCCCCGCGCTCCGTGCTGCAGGCTGCCGCCGCAAGCCTTGCGCGCCGGGGGGGGGAGTTCCCCCAGGCGCCCAAGGCTTGCGGACAGCTGCGCGAAGCACGGGGCGTCCTCCAAAGGGCGCCCCGCGCTCCACGCTGCAGGCTGCCGCCCGCAAGCCTTGCGCGCGCGGGGGGGGGAGTTCCCCCAGGCGCCCAAGGCTTGCGGACAGCTGCGCGAAGCACGGGGCGTCCTCCAAAGGGCGCCCCGCGCTCCGCGCTGCAGGCTGCCGCCCGCAAGCCTTGCGCGCGCGGGGGGGGGGGAGTTCCCCCAGGCGCCCAAGGCTTGCGGACAGCTGCGCGAAGCACGGGGCGTCCTCCAAAGGGCGCCCCGCGCTCCGCGCTGCAGGCTGCCGCCCGCAAGCCTTGCGCGCGCGGGGGGGGAGTTCCCCCAGGCGCCCAAGGCTTGCGGACAGCTGCGCGAAGCACGGGGCGTCCTCCAAAGGGCGCCCCGCGCTGCAGGCTGCCGCCCGCAAGCCTTGCGCGCCGGGGGGGGAGTTCCCCCAGGCGCCCAAGGCTTGCAGACAGCTGCGCGAAGCACGGGGCGTCCTCCAAAGGGCGCCCCGCGCTCCGCGCTGCAGGCTGCCGCCCGCAATGTTTGGATTTGCATCCAGCAGGAGATGCCGCCGCCGCCCCGCCTCTCCCGCCTCCCTCCCACGGCACACCAGGCAAGGTCTCACGGCACACTGGTGTGCCGCGGAACACCGGTTGGGAAACACTGCTCTAAGAAACGAAACACGGAATCTTCTCTAAACCACCTGGCCTATAAAAGAGGAAGCAACTCCAGTTCCTTATTAGCCCACCAGGGATGGGATATTGAGACTGAAAACTTTGATTCCCTAGCAACAATGGATAATTAGCAAGGACATTTGCACTTTCATGTATAGGTAGACCACACCTTACACTGTTTTCACTTATGGGTGTGATTGGAGAGGAGGTGGAGTGTAGAGAGAGATCAGAGGAGGCAGGAGAGGCTTGTGGAGGACATTGGAGAGTCCTCTGAAGAGGTTGGAATGATTTAATGGGTTTCTTCCCGTTTTATAGAGGGCATTCTGGCTTTACACAATTTTGCTTAATTGTGTCCTCCATCATGGAGGGCACGTATTGTGGTGAGATCACCTAAACTGCCTCCCTGTTGTGGGGCAGGACCGTTTGGATAGCCACAACACCCCCTTGGTTGCTGGGGCAGAAATTTGGCCTGTTGGGTCGTCTATTGCAGTGTTTCCCAACCGGTGTTCCGCGGCACACCAGTGTGCCGTGAGACCTTGCCTGGTGTGCCGTGGGAGGGAGGCGGGAGAGGCGGGGCGGCGGCGGCATCTCCTGCTGGATGCAAATCGAAACATTGCGGGCGGCAGCCTGCAGCGCGGAGCGCGGGGCGCCCTTTGGAGGACGCCCCGTGCTTCGCGCAGCTGTCCGCAAGCCTTGGGCGCCTGGGGGAACTCCCCCCCCGGCGCGCAAGGCTTGCGGGCGGCAGCCTGCAGCGCGGAGCGCGGGGGCGCCCTTTGGAGGACGCCCCGTGCTTCGCGCAGCTGTCCGCAAGCCTTGGGCGCCTGGGGGAACTCCCCCCCCGGCGCGCAAGGCTTGCGGGCGGCAGCCTGCAGCGCGGAGCGCGGGGCGCCCTTTGGAGGACGCCCCGTGCTTCGCGCAGCTGTCCGCAAGCCTTGGGCGCCTGGGGGAACTCCCCCCCCGGCGCGCAAGGCTTGCGGGCGGCAGCCTGCAGCGCGGAGCGCGGGGCGCCCTTTGGAGGACGCCCCGTGCTTCGCGCAGCTGTCCGCAAGCCTTGGGCGCCTGGGGGAACTCCCCCCCCGGCGCGCAAGTCTTGCGGCGGCAGCCTGCAGCACGGAGCGCGGGGCGCCCTTTGGAGGACGCCCCGTGCTTCGCGCAGCTGTCCGCAAGCCTTGCGCGCCCAGGGGAACTCCCCCCCGCGTGCACGGCTTGCGGGCGGCAGCCAGCAGCGCGGAGCACGGGGCGCCCTCCGTAGGAGGCTGCGGAGGGTGGCGCGGAGCTGCCCGCGCTCCAGGGCTTCTTGCAGCTCCGCGCCACCCCCGGATCCCGGTGCGAAGCCTCGCGGGGCTGCGGAGGGTGGCACGGAGCTGCCTGCGCTCCAGGGCTTCTTGCAGCTCTGCGCCACCCCCCGGATCCCGGCGCGAAGCCGCGCGGGGCTGCGGAGGGTGGTGCGGAGCTGCCTGCGCTCCAGGGCTTCTTGCAGCTCCGCGCCACCCCCCGGATCCTGGCGCGAAGCCGCGCGGGGCTCCGGAGGGTGGCGCGGAGCTACCTGGGCTCCAGGGCTTCCTGCAGCTCTGCACCACCCTCTGGATCCTGGCGCGAAGCCGCGCGGGGCTCCGGAGGGTGGTGCGAAGCTGCCTGCGCTCCAGGGCTTCTTGCAGCTCCGCGCCACCCCCCGGATCCCAGCGCGAAGCCGCACGGGGCTCTGGAGGGTAGCGCAGAGCTGCCTGCATCCCGAAGCCTGGTGCGCGCTGAAGAGCGCCCCCGGGCTTCACGCACCTCTCCGCAAGCCTGGGGAGACCAGTGTGGCTCCCTAGGCTTGCGGATATCAGGCTGTTCTGGGGGCTGGGGTCGGGGGAAGCTTGGGCTTCCCCCGCGCCTGCCCCGTGCCTGGGGAGGGGAAATTTTTTTTTTCTTTATTCTCCCCCCAAAAAATTAGGTGCGTCTTATGGGGCGGTGCGTCCTATGGGGCGAAAAATATGGTAGTCAATATAGGCACAGAGTTAAATTTTTTAACATTTTCTAATGGTGGTGTGCCTCGAGATTTTTTTCATGAAACAAGTGTGCCTTTGCCCAAAAAAGGTTGGGAAACACTGGTCTATTGGCTACCGAGGGGCTATTTAAGCTGCTGCATGTTGCTGGGAGCTTTCTCTTTCCTGCACCGTTCTACCTTCAATCACCCACCCTCCCACCCTATTTTTAGAGCTGTTCTTTGGCCTTGCTATGCCTGTCTAGGGGTCGTCTGTTTTGGAGCAGGGGCCAGGTAGGAATTTTGCCATTTGGCTGATTGGCTGGTGCCATTTGGTTTTTGCCTACCGTGTAGCAAATCGTCACAACTTTGTAAGGTTGGTGGTTAGGCATTGGTTCAATGTTTTGTGGAGGGGAAGTGGTTGGCTGTGCCAATAATTTCTGTGAGTCATACACATTTAATTATATTTAAGTAATGACTGTTCATCACATTAATTTGAAGTGAGAGATGAGCTGCCATGCCCCAAATGACTGAATCCCAAAAGAATAACTTCTCAGCAACTAGTTAGCATTTGAATTCAATGAATTTGATTCTTGTGCCCACCTTCTTTTCTACCTTCAATGTGACTTTCATGTAGATTGTATATTTTTCCCTAATTGCTGCAAGCTTGTTTGCACCTTGACCAAATTCCAGAACATTTAACAAATGACTATAGGATATTGTGTTCTTGCATATGTAAATACTAATGAGATCTCAGTTTAAATAAACAAAATCCAGACTGACAAGAGTTGCAGTGCAGGCGGTCATGACGGTGGGAGCCATTCCTAATCAATAATACGTCACATTGTATTAACTTTTGATCCAAAATCTGCATCGCCAAAGCAGTGGGGCTAGACTGCGACAAAACAATGGTGTAAACTATTTTTTTAAAAATAGTCACAGAAACAACAAATGGGGAACACAATTGGTAATTCCTATTCCAAATTCTACCCTAAGTTGCTGAACAGAGAAAACAAAACAAGATCCAATCTAGGATTATTATGGCACATTATGAAATGGATTCTAGACTGCTCTGATTTCATGATGTGGGAAATGAATGAGCGCATGTGAAAGATGCTGGAGCTGTACAACGTCAAAAAAAATCACTCTCAAAAAATGAAGGTGTAAGTTTGTGAATAAATGTAAATAAGGATTCAGAGAAAAAAAGCAGTTTACATTTGAGGTCAAAGATCAAACTTCAATTCTAAAACTTGTATTAAATCTTGACACCCAAATCATTTCCACCTGTAGTAAATTTGGAGATATTTTTAACAGGCATATTGTCAATTCTGTAAGCTGCTGTATTTTTACCAAGACGAGGGCGGGTGTTTGACTGTACAAAAAACATCTCTACGAAAAACCCCCACAAAAATTCCTGCTGGATTCTATTTAAAAATTAATTGGGACTTTAAATTCAACAAGATTAAACAATATTTGTATTCTCTTCCATACACATTTGTATGGTTTAATTTGATCCCAACATCACAAAAGGCCCCCGTTTTCCTTTTCTCCAACCCCTATTTTCTTTGCACAGTTGCCTATAAGTGTGGGGTTTCTATTGTCTCAGAGTATTTTGAAGGGTGTGATGTTTATCATTATTGAAGGTGTATGCCTGGCACTTGAAAGCCATTCATCTGTTGTAGATAAGCTTGATTTCTTCCAGTCTTTTGCAATCTGTATCCAAGGTGTCACAATCAAATGTATAATCATGTAATAGTTGTTTTTTTATAGGTTGCTGCAACAGTCCTAATAATGAGACAAGAAGATTTATGGGTTCCTTTTTTCCTGCTGTTTCATTTAATAACTTTAATAATGTTTCCAAAAAGTCATTGTAGATTTACATGAAGACATTTTTGAGGTTAGAATACTGTTATTTATACCTCCAGAACTAAGAATTGCCTAGAACTAGCTGTGTATTCTTTTTATAGTTACCATGGTGTACAATGCTATGTGTGCACTATCTGGATGCAGTTTTCATTCGATTTTACATCCAGCAAACCTTTGCCCACTTTTAACAAGTTATATAAAATTCTTCCACTTTCTTTTGAGTCTATCATCAGAAATGTTTAACAATATAGTGATTGTATATAATTTATATATATTTTTGATAGTAAATGCCTTGTGTACCAATATTGGTGGTCTTAACTATAGCGGGGATGTTTGTACTACTGTGATATTGATATTAGGCAAGCACCCTTGCTAAACTGTTTTAGATGCCTGCTGAAGCAAGTCTACCCAGAGATATTTCCCCAATAGCCTTATTTGTGTTTAAAGTTTCTGATGATTTTTATATGTGTGTTTTATTCATAATTTTATGACAATTTTGTGGTTGTAAATCAGAAATCTTTATAAATAAATATCCATTGTGTCCATCTGCTAGTGGAGCAGACTTCTCCTTACACAATGGGATTTCCATGGACTGCCTATTCCAGAACCAAAACTACTGCTTGTTAGTGTGGACAGTACAAGGCTGAATAGACCAAAGGTATAAGGTATATACCTTATAAGGTATATAAGGTAACTTCCTATCTTCCTCTGATATAGTTGGGTATCATCCATTACCATCTTTTCTTTCAACCAATATTTGCTATCATACACTGAATAAAAGAAACTTGAGATTCATTAGGCACATGAGATGCACCCCAGTGGGAGCTGTCAGCAGATCAGCTTTGGGTCTACAACAGTATGCAGAGTTCTCTCCTGCTCTGAACATTCCCCTCTTAAAGACGGCCAAGAATTACTGAGTGAGCTCCCATTGCTCTGTCCCAGGTCCTGCCAACCTAGCAGTTCGAAAGCACTCCAGTGCAAGTAAATAGGTCCTCTGCAGCGGGAAGGTAAACGGCATTTCTGTGCGCTCTGGTTTCCATCATGGTGTCCCGTTGCACCAGAAGCGGTTTAGTCCTGCTGGCCACATGACCCAGAAAGCTGTCTGTGGACAAACGCCGGCTCCCTCGGCCTGAAAGCAAGATGAGCGGCACAACCCCAGAGTCACCTTGGACTGGACTTAACTGTCCAAGGGTCCATTACCTTTACACTGTCATTATTACAAGGCTATACATTATATATTTATCACTCCAATCATGCAGCAAACCCCAAGAAGAACTGATGATTACTACTTAAAATACTTAACAGAGGACAGGGAACCCGAAATTACCTTAAAAGTGGCAAAATTCTGTGCTGCTGCTATAAAATTAAGGAGACAAGCTTTGAATGAATCTAATGGCCAATGTCTTAATGTATTTTAAATTAGTGGTTAAGGTTTTAACTTATATATATTTATATGTGAATTCTTTATTGTGTATCAGCTCATAGTTTAATTTTAATCTATTTATAGCTGTATGCTCTCTGTTGTATATGGTTGCACTCTGGTCAGCGACTGAAATAAATCGATTCATTAATTGATGGGGCAGGAGGGGGGGAGTTGTTATGCCCCATTCCCCACCTTGACCACCTCAAACTGACAATGCATAGGAAGTGGCCATAGGGTCACAGATTCCCCATCCCTGCAGTAAATCATACAGACATCATGTGGTGCCTGCAAGTCTTGGATCAGAGGTTTATTTCTATCTCTTTTAGACATAGTATGAGGAAAAACTAGGTAATTGTGAGATGAGTCAAGGCAGCGAGCAGAACTGTTCTGTGCAACAGGTTTATTAACATTTCAAAGCCCTGGACACACAAAAGGAATTAGTTATAATACAGTAAGTTGTGGCTCTTTCTGCTCAGGGGTTTAATCTTCTTAAGTTACATGTTTATGGAATTTACACAGTCAGATATCAAATGCTAATGAACTTGCCACTTACCAAAGCTCCTTTGTCCTGCCTCCTTTTTCCTCTTCTTAAAGTTGCCTGATCTCAAACATCAGCCTGATACTAGGGGAACTGCAGAACCTGAGCATGAGACCTGGGTGTAAAAGTGGGAAATGATCAAAACTTTAGAAATTTGCTAAATCCCTGTTCCAGAAAAAGTATCTGCCTTTACAGGGCTTTTTTTAAAGGCAATAAGACAGGTGCCTTATTTGCCAAGCATGTAAAGTTGAACACACACAAGATAAATGTAGGTAAATTGCAAGTTACCTGTACTATGCATCTCAGAAGTGTATCATCCAATATGTATCATCTATATGGGACTTAATTGCAGACTTCTATGGATGTGATTTTCAAACATGTGATATATTTTCAAAAGGTCCAAAGGTGAAAAACCATATTTAATTAATTCCCCTGGTATCTTTTCTTGTGATTCTCAGGCAACTTCTTATAGAACAGTTTGGGAAACAAACTAGAAAGGGTGGGGTGAGCATCCACCTGTTGGCTAAGAGTCTGTAGGTGGAAACAGATGACAGCTAAGCATATGGTGGCTGCATAAGTCTTTCGAAATTACAGCTATTTGTAAAAAGCAATCCTCAATTTCCCCATCTCAGCTCAGCTCAGCTTGTCCTCTGGGCGGTGCAGGACCTCCAGACACACTGTCCAGGCTTGTGGCCCAAGGAGGTTACTTCAGTTCTGCTAACGCAGCAGAAACAATGTGGGAGGCAGCAGTTGCAAGTTACCAGTCTCTGCAGTCACAATGGGTGCTGTGATTCTCCAACACTTGGACTTCATCCCTGGAGGCACACTCCATTGTCTCTCAAGACAGACGGGTGCCAGGTGTCCACAATAATGTGTGACAGCTTTTATGATCGCCTTGCACTTGCTGCTATGCTGTGCGCATGGAGGCCTGGCTGATCTTCTTGAGATGGTCACTCACCTGTTCCATCAACAAGAAAAAAAAGAATTACAACCATCTCTCTTCCTCTCCAATGAAAGGATTTAGAGCTCATTTACATGCATGAGTGTCATACAGGTGACTAAGAACAATGACCAAGAGCCTTAGGTTCTGGTTCCCCAATTGTCTTTTTCTATAGGAAGCCTTTTAACCATTCTTAGGAGCTACTTCCTTGCCTTCCTGCACTTTCTCTTCCCTCAGTCCAGATTTTCTAATACTGTACCAGGGATACTGAAAAAGGAGTGAGTGTGAGGAAATCCATATGGAGGGAGGGATAAGTGTGAGAAGGCAGTGATTTAGAGCAGTGTTTCCCAACCTTTTTTGGGCAAAGGCACACTTGTTTCATGAAAAAAATCTCGAGGCACACCACCATTACAGCCCCGTGACGTCAGCGCGCAGCGTCACGCCGGGAGGGACATGAATTGCTAGCAAATTACATAATCACCTCCTTGAGGGCTGGCTCATCTTCTCCGAAGGCAGAACCCCATTAATTAACAGCACAGACTCACACCATAGCCAAGACGAGGGGGGACAGCCTCAGTCATGCACAGTCATGCACATGTGGGGGTTAAATGAGGACGATGATCGGGCAGAGAGCAGGGTTCAAATCACCCCACCTGGCCAGGACAATCCCTGGGTGCTCCCTTGGGCCACTCGCCTGACCCACCTCGCAGGGCTGTTGTTGCGAGGATAACACGGGGAGAACCACGCGCGCCCCCGGGAGCTCCTTGGAGGAGAAAGCGGGCGATGAATGCAATGCACGAAATATATGAGAGGCGACCAGGTTTTGCAGGTGAGGGGCTCCCGCCAGCCTCCGCTTCCAACACCCGGCGCAACGACGCCGAAGTTTCCCCCCGGGCTCGGCTCGGGGAGCAGCGCTGCTCCCCCCCGGCTCCCCTTCGCCCTCCCGGCTCTCTCTGCCGCCCACTGGGGACCCCCCTCACCTGCCAAGTCCGGAGCGCCGGTGGAAGTTGCATGCATGCATGCAGGGCGCCGCGTTGCCATTGCATTGCACTGCACTCCATGCAACGCCTGCACGCATGCATTGCCTTGCACGCCCGCCAAGGGGTCTCCCCGCGGTCCGATGCATCCCCTCCGGCGCGGATGCAGCATTGCAAAAATAAACCCCCCCCCGACGCAGCCCTACCTGGGGGGCAGCCTCCGCCTCCGCCGCTCCGCCTCCGCGGGGATCCCCGGCCTCCATCCTGCCGCCTGATCTCCGCGGGGGCGCAAGCAGGCTGCGCGGGGTCTGCGCGGAAGAGCCCCTGCCCGCCCGGCCGCCGCCGCCGCGCTCATTCCATGGCCGGGAGAAGAGCGCTTCAAACAAAACGCCCGGCCCGCCAGGCCACGCTGGGAAACGTAGTTTGCGCACCCCGCGCGGGCGCGGAGCCCAAGGGCGAGGGGACTACGGATCCCGGCAGCCCCCGCGCCGGGGACGGAGGGGAGAGGCCGGGTGCAGGGATGGAGAGACGGGTGGGCGAGCGAGTGAGTGAGTGGCAGCCGCCAAGCCTTGGCCGAGAGCCAGGAAGGGCCTCCCCGGAGGAGGAGGAGGAGGGAGGCGCAGAGCGGGAGGGAGGGAGGGAACCCCAGGGGTCATCTAGTGACGGCGCCCCAATCGAAAATTTGACTTTAAAAAAAAAAATCTTTCAATTTTTTAATTTTTCCCGCGGCACACCAGGCAACATCTCGCGGCACACTAGTGTGCCGCGGAACAGTGGTTGGGAAACACTGATTTAGAGTACGTGGTATGAACAATGGAGAATTAATGCAGATATGCTGTATCCAGAGTCTCTAGAATTATTTTCTCTTTCCCTTCCTCCCTTCCTTGTGTCTAGAGCACATGCATTTAAATGCAGGCACATCACACAAAGCACCATGCAGCATACAGTTTGCCATTCCACATACAAAGGCATATTTTCTAATTGTCAAAAAGTCATTGCAAGCCAATTATGTTTTTCTGGTATGTCTTTAGCAAAAGGAACTGCTGTATTACCCTCTTGGCTTTTAAGTCAGAAGAGGACAGGCTACTGCAGAGGCAATGGCCACGAAAGAGTAGAAAAGCCTTCAGCAATGTGTCCTAATAGGAGGGATCCTCCTTATGAAGAGGGAGGTGCTGCAAGATTGCCAATGCATTTTCATCTGTGAAACATTGCTGGGCTGGGCAGGCCTCCCAGCTGCTTTGATGTTGCTTGGATTTCTAGGTGAAAGCTGAAAATGAAAATCAGTTCAGCTTTCAAATGCACTGGCACACTCTTGTGTTGAATCTCTATTAGTACAGTTTTAAAAATGAAACTCCCTGCTTCTTTTTAGGAAATGAATGTGACAAGCAGCCCTAAACACTTCCCACTTGCAAGCATTTCACGTTGATTTAAATAAGACCTCCCTCTAAGGGACTGACCGTCAGCATTTCCATTTGCTTGATTTTAAAAAATAATAATACACAAAATGAGCTTTAAAAAAGTGAAGCGTCTCCAGTGGAGTGCAATGTTTCATTTCCTGGGACACAAATAAAGGAATCCTGTATCCTACACCTTCACTGTGAACAGCAGCTCAGACTGAATTTTCCTGTTTTAAAATACTGTATGAATAAAAAGAAATAAGGAAATAAGACATTTTAGGCAGCAATCCTTTTTTATAAACCACTTTGAGGTTTTTCCTCAGTCAGGAGTTATATAAAGTCTCACTCTAACCCATACCCCTCAACCCATAACCCTCTAACCTCCAAACCTTAACCCTAACCTTTACCACTAACCTTAACCCTAACTACTAACCCTAGCCCATAACCTATAACCCGAACCCTTAACTCTAAACCACAACCCCTAACCCCCATCCCCTAACACCAACCCAAACTTCTAACCCTAAACCCCAACCCCTTAACCTAACACTAATCCCAACCCTAATCCTAACAAAATTTTTAAACCAGGTTAACCAGTGAACCAGAGTCAACTTCATTGGATCCATGCCATCAAACGTGGCTTGAACAGAGGTCTTGCTACACATCCTCAAAAAGACCAAATTGTTGGCCTAGATAAACACAGCTCACACAACTCTGTATGCAATTATACAGAACTTCCCAATGACCAAATATAAAAATAAGACATTTATATTCCTCCAAGTGTATGTTTCTTTAAATATAGCTGTGCCCCAGCTGTGTGAAATCCTAAGCAAGATGGCTGGATGCAAATCTCTGTTTCAAATGTCTTCCTCCGGTCAGTCTGCAATGGGATGATATGACAGCAAAACACATGCTAAAATAGAAAGGTCAGCTCCATAAAAGTGAAAATGCACTCTACTCATTTTGTAAGGAAACTCACTTAGGATTCCACACAGCCAGGGCACTGCCACTGCGGTTTGAGTGATTGAGAGCAAAGCTACAACACTCCCAGAGATGTGGACAGTTTTTCCCAGTCTGTGGATTATCCTTTAACAATAAGGAGATTCTTTATTGAACAAATGAACATTTGGATGGAACTTTGGCTTTGAGACATCTTGTATTGAACTTAAATGATTTTGGTATTGCATGCATAATGTAAAAAGCTGTATTTAAAGAAACGGGACACTTGGAATATAAATGTCTTATTTTTATTTTTGGTCTTTGGGAGGTTTGATATAATTGCATAATTGTAATTAATTGATATAATTGTGAGCTGTTTCTCTTTATTTCACTGTATTTCTTTGTATTGTGTTTGGCCTAGAGGAAGAAGCAAATTCCTCAACTGATGTTAATCATTTGCCAGAATCAGTCCATGTAGTCCATCAACTATGTGTTCACCTACTCTTTAAAGCAGGAATGGGAACACCTTTGTACTTCTGTCAAGGGTCACATTCCATCAGTGGTACTCTGTTGGAGGCTGTGTCCTGGCAGTGGGTATTCCAGTGGAAATGGAAATTGTTAATGTTGTCTTACTCACCCTAGGTCCAGAATGGAAATCACTCCCAGCATCCTGCAGTCTTCTTGTCAATCTGCAAACAATATACTGTATATGACTTCCCCATCCCCATTGTTCTTCCTTAGTATTAAAATTAATTGTTGTGGCTCCCACTCAATGGAGAACTTGAACTTATGTTGCATTTTCTACCAAAATCTTTAATGCCCAAGTCATTGCAATACATAATCAAATTGCTTTTTTTTTTTAAAAAAATAAATTTTTATTAATTTTCCATAAGTAAAAAAGAAAACAAAGCAAAAACATAAGTAAACACAAAAACGACTTCCCCATACCACCCCTTTTCTGCATTCTTGTTTCAAAATTTTCCAGCAACCCTTTCGTATTAAACTTATTTCTATTTCGTAAATTTAACTTCCATAAAATGATAAAACAACTGTAGTTCTTTATCTCTTATTACCCTGATCCTCTAATTTTCCAATTTACAACAGTTTTTAAGATAAACTTTGAATTTGTTCCAGTCTTCATCCACCGCCTCTTTCCCCCGGTCTCGGATTCTGCCAGTCATCTCTGCCAGTCCCATATAATCAATCACCTTCGTCTGCCATTCTTCCAACGTGGGTAGATCTTGTGTCTTCCAATACTTTGCTAGAAGGATTCTTGCTGCTGTTGTAGCATACATAAAAAATGTCCTATCCTTCTTTGGCACCATTTGGCCCACCATACCCAGGAGAAAGGCTTCTGGCTTTTTATTAAAGGTTCTCTTCAGAACTTTTTTAATTTCATTATAGATCATTTCCCAGAAAGCCTTAATCTTCGGGCAGGTCCACCAAAGGTGATAGAAGGTTCCCTCCGTTTCATTGCACTTCCAACACTTATTATTGGGCAGATGATAAATCTTTGCTAACTTAGCCGGAGTCATGTACCACCTGTAGATCATTTTCATAATGTTTTCTCTTAAGGCATTACATGCCGTAAATTTAACACCAGTGGTCCATAACTGCTCCCAGTCAGCAAGCTCAATGTCATGCCCTATATCCTGTGCCCATTTAATCATACTAGATTTCACCATTTCATCTTGAGTATTCCATTTCAACAGCAAGTTGTACATTCTTGACAAGTTTTTAGTATTGGGTTCTAACAGTTCTGTTTCTAGTTTTGACTTCTCCACTTGGAAGCCTTTCTTTCTGTCCTGTTTAAATACTTCATTTATCTGTCGATAATGTAGCCAATCTCTCACCTTAAACTTCAGATTCTCGAAACTCTGCAATTTTACTTTTTCACCATCTTGTTCTATCATTTCAAAATATTTAGGCCAATTAGAACCCATATTCAGTTTTTTCACCTCATTTGCCTCCATTGGTGACAGCCACCTAGGGGTTTTGCTTTCAAACAAATCTTTATACCTTATCCAGACATTATACAGAGCTTTCCTCACCATATGGGTCTTAAAGCCTTTGTGTACTTTTACCTTGTCATACCATATATATGCATGCCAACCAAATCTGTTATCAAACCCTTCAAGATCCAAAATGTCTGTATTCTCGAGGAGCAGCCAGTCTTTCAACCAGCAAAATGCTGCTGATTCATAGTAAAGTCTTAAGTCCGGCAGGGCAAAACCTCCTCTATCTTTTGCGTCTGTTAATGTCTTAAATTTTATTCTTGGCTTTTTGCCCTGCCAAACAAATTTCGATATGTCTTTCTGCCACCTCTTGAAACAGTCCATCTTGTCTATTATTTGTAATGTCTGAAACAGGAATAACATTCTAGGCAATACATTCATTTTGATAACAGCAATTCTGCCTAACAAGGAAAGTTTCAGCCTTGACCATATGTCTAAATCTTTCTTGACTTCTGTCCAACATTTATCATAATTGTCCTTAAATAAGTTCACATTTTTCGCTGTCAGGTTCACCCCCAAGTACTTCACTTTTTTTGCTATCTCCAAACCTGTTTCATTCTGAAATGTCTCTTTTTCCTCATTTGTTAGGTTTTTCTCCAGCACTTTAGTTTTTTGCATAATCAAATTGCTGATCCAACAGTGACACGCCCCCTGCAACCTCGTTATACGGAAAAGGAGCACACACAACTCAGCACCAGAACTTTGACATACCCATTCTGTGCTCTGGCACAACACTTTGGTCCTTCCCAAAGTCGCTTGCTAATAAGTCAAATGTATTAATTGATTTAGGGATGTGTGCATGGAGCAGTGGGGACCAAAAACGGGAGCCATGTTGCAGGCCACAAAGGGTGTTCTATGCATAGATTATTGGCTTGCTGTCATGTGCGTAGATATGATGGTGTTCTCCCGCTTGTTCTGCCTTAAAAGAGAATGTTATGAAGATGGTCTATCGTTGGTATCTTACTCCCACCAAACTGGAAGAAATGTATAGAGCAAGCAGTAAAACTTGTTGGAAATGCAAAGAAAAGGATGGAGACTTCTATCACATGTGGTGGTCATGTAATAAAATAAAGGAGTTTTGGGAAGCCGTTTATAATGAGTTAAAAAAGATGTTTAAGTATAGTTTTCCCAAAAAGCCGGAAGAATTCTTGCTAGGTTTGGTGGGAGAAGATATTAAGAAGATAGATCAAAGACTATATCTGTATGCAACAACAGCAGCTAGAGTTCTGATAGCTCAAAAGTGGAAGCAGCAGGAGATGCCGACGATAGGAGAATGGCAGATAAAGTTGGTTGAATATGCTGAGATGGCTAAATTGACACACAGAATTCGCAATCAGGAGGAGACAAAGTACCAAAAAGAATGGAGTAAATTTATGATTTATATAACTGAGAACTGTACAAATTTGAAAACGTTGGCAGGACTGAAGTAAACCTTATGTCATGATGTAATGTTTAATTAAAGAAACTGTGAATTATAGAATGGAATAGGAAAACTGGTGGAAGGGAAGGACGGAAGTCAACGGCTCTGTGGAGCATAAAGTAGGACATATGTAACAAGATTTGATGTTTTGTTGGTGGGTGTTGGTTGGTGATCTTAAATCTCAATAAATATTTTTTTTTTAAAGATATGATGGTGTTCTCTAAATAGTACCAGATGCTGGTATATTTAGTTTGGGACCAGGACACTTAAATGAGTGTCTCATTTCTTATATACTTAATCCATCACCACAGGAGAGGACCTCCTCCAGATGCCATCTTAACAGGAGGTGCATTCCTTACGATAGAGGATGCAGCTTTTTCATGCGGTAGAATTCCCTCCCATTGCATGGCACACAGGTTCTGTCCCTCTTGTCTCTTTGGGGCCTGCTGAGAGTTTTTCTTTCAATGAAAATTTTAAATGGAGATCTTTATCCCAGTCTGATTCTGTACTGGAACTATTTTAACTGTTTTTATGTCAGGTTTGTTGTTGTTGTAAAAATGTGCTATTTTTTGCAGGTGGAGTGGTTTTTAATTGTTAAACATACTGAATTGAAAATTGAAATTGAACTTAAATACTTTATTGTCGCTTGTACAACTTGTATACAGTGAGATATGGACCTGGTTTAGCTATCTGTTCGTTTGTTTCATGAATGTACCCGTTTTGTTTGTTTTAGAACTGTGCATTTTATTGTTGCAACCAGCTCTGGAGCCTTGTGTTGAAATGTGGGTAAGAAATCTAATAAAATAAAGGTTTGGGTTATAATCCTATTGTCTCATGGATGACTGATTTCTCCAATTGCCTCTGACCTTTTTCTTTCTAATCTATCCTGTTATTTGGAGAAGGGCAATGTCCATAAATTGTATGTTTTCGCTTGACTCAAACACAAGGATAGCCAGGTTTAAAGCCGAGATAGTACAGGGTTAGCATCTCCCAATTATTTAAATCTGCTCCTCAAAGAAACAA